GTGAAACATATACAGAGACAACAATTTTCATTCACGTGACAAATATTTAAGTGTCTCTGAAAATCGTTGTTTGTGTTTAGTTTTACGACGTCGTTTTAAGCCGGCTTCCCGGTGTTTTGTCGCATCTCTTTGAACTCGAGGCAAGAAAATCGCTCAAAGCTTTCTTTTACAGCCAGAACTATAACTAAATATTCTTTGGAAAGTTTTCTTTCTATTTGCGGTGAGAAAATGTCTAAAGATCATTGTCTCAAATCATTCAAACGTGCATAAAGTAAATAGCCGCATAAACTACGCTCGGCTTCATTAAATTAGATATAAAAAACAAACATCAAATACAATAATTACTCAGGCTTACCATTCGAGATGCACTGAAAACTATCAAGTAACGCCAGAATCGCTTCAGACTTTTTAACCCTCTTACGCATCAAGCAAGGTGAAAACAATGCCATCCGAAATCGGATTTCCCACTTTGACAAGCGACGTATTTCACAACCAAAAAACCCAATAAACAAACTAGCCATGAATGACAGAAGACTCTTGATAGCAGCTGAAATTCATTTTGTACATTCAGTGGAAAAAGACAGTTAAAAACATCACAAGTTGACACAAAACTCTGTCAGTTTCAGCTGTCAAAGTAAACAAGTTTCAAGATGCTGCATGAATTTTCCGCCTGAACTCACCTGTCAAATTTTAACCTGAGATCAGGCTCTATTTTCGTTTCGCTTTGAAAATTACATTCCAGCGGGCATGGCGAAACGATTGATTGACATTTGCCATTGCCGAATCAGCCAATCACAATTACTTCCGTTGCTTGTTTTTGTAGTATGCAAATTTTTCACGCGTAGGACAACCAGTCTGTTACGTTAAAGGTGAACCAAAAATTCGACATTTTTTATTTCAGTTCAATTCTAGTGAAATGTGTTCAATATGAACCAAATAAACATACTATGAAGTTTCAGCTCAATTGAAGCAGGTATCTCCGAGATATTCGCAATTAAAATTTGCTATTTTTTGGCCCTTACCTTCGTAGAGCGGTCGGAAAAATTGTCGGAAAAAACAGCTTGTGACGTCAATGTTGGTCAAGGTGAAAAAAGGCGGGAAATTCAAAACAGTGTTTTTCGAGTCGACTTGGCACAGAAGTGGTTTGTGTGGCCATAAACCTGGAAAGAACAGGCAATTTGTCTTCAAAAGTTGCAAGCTGTGGTTATAACCTTCTTATTATTTAATTTTCTCGAAGAATACATCATTGAGTTGTACTGGAAATGTGCGTGCGTAAGTCCGATTTTTTTCAAGACGCATTCACAAAATGCGTTCACATAAGGAATAAGAGTCGCTTCGATCTTTCCTAGACAAGTTGGGAAAGGGGATAAGGAAAGAGGAAAGCGGAAAGAGGAAAGCGGAAAGCGGAAAGCGGAAAGCGGAAAGCGGAAAGAAGAAGCTGAAAAAAGTGTTAAGTGTCACGAAACATGGTTTCGTTTTCTTAGCACAGCGTAAACCAAACGCTAAACTTGAGATCTATAAAGTGACTTTTCTTAATCGACATATGATAGTTTAGATTAGATGGATTTTTTCGATTTGTCAAATTTATTGAGAATATAGGACTGCCGGTCATTTAGTGTTTTGAAAACCTTGACCGGTTACCGGCCATATAGCCACAGCGGATTAATTTTGCTTTGTGTTGTCAAGTTGAACATGCATAACACCTGTTAAAAACCTACACGTAAGTAAGATTTCCTTCAAACAAAGTTAAAGTTACATTATTGCAAAAACCTCTTTCCAATTATGTATAAGATTTAATTACCGATTGAGGTCACTTTAAGGACCATAGACGCCACTTTAAGCTGGCAAAAAGATGCGACAAGCAAAGAACAATTCGATCATGCATAAAATTCAGCTTAAGTGAACTACAAAAAAAGCTTCAATAAGGTTGCGAAACAACAAATTTTCATTAAAAAAACAAAAGGCTTAAGGCTCTTATACCTGATGACAAAGAAGAAGTGAATTTTCTGTACGGAAACAACCTACCTAAAGTTGCTTACACATATTGTTTGGAGTAGGTGTGCAAAACTCAAATATGAATCAGTTTACTAAACGCTACCTGAAGACCAAAGATAAATTGCTTCACAACATAAACGCTTCTCGTTTATTTATTACATCTAAGAAAACAATACCACACAACAATTTTTTTGCAATATTCAATGACTGATAATCCAAAACACGCACACTCGCCAAAGCTCTTCATAGCGGCGGGGCAGGTTAGTGTCTCCTAAACCTCTAAGATGTAATTGGATAAGCCAGTTTCGAATATCAAAATTCACACTTAACTCCGAGGCTAAGGGGAATTGAAACAAAAGAAATGAATGATTTCTCTGAATCTCATTGGCTAATGTTTCAGTAATGTAAGAGCTGCTTGTCAGGTGTTCCCTCATTGGTAGCAGAAAACAACAACACATCGTTTATCAATATTTCCTGTTGTTTCACGGTTAGAGTATCGAACCAATTGGCTTTTAGGGTTAGGAGAGCTGGTACACCAGTCTCGGGTGGCAAGTATGAATTTTAATAAATCGAACCTGGCCTCTTTGCATGCGCAGTGATTTATGATTAATCAACCTCGTTCCTAGCGTGCTTGTTACATCTCGCTGAAGTACCAGAGCATGATAACGACGTTACTGATAACTAATTTGTGAGTAGTGAACATATAGCACAAATGATAATGCCTTTTGAAATTTAATCAGCGGTATAGTTAGAGTGATTTAACTGAACCGGTGAAATAGATAGTAGAATGCTACGCACTATTATGCATTTAATTCTATTGTCCTCTTGTGTGTATTTGTAATTATTTTGCACTAGTTGTTATTAACTGTATCACGGAGCCAAGTAAAATCGCTCTAAAAGCCTGCTCACGAATATGCTTGGTTATTGCAATTGGTGCGATATTCAAACATTATTATTGGGGCTTTTTAAGCCTTGCTAGGAACTACTATAATGATATCATACATTTTGGTTAATTTCATTCCAAACTTGAAGGAGTAGAAACCTAATTACCGTATATCCTCGGCCAGAAAGGCTAAATTCGTTACTTGTTTGCCAACGAATTGGCTTCACATCTACATCTCATTACGTTGGTTAAGTCGATAAGACATCACACCAATTGTAACTTGCTTGTTACATAAACAGAAAAAAATTTAAAAAAAAACATAAATATGTTTATTTGAGGAAGGACGAAATATTTTGCTATCAATCATATGAAACACACTTCCAAACCAAGCCTCAAACAGTCATGACCACATGCTTAAACAAACTCAGTTACTTTTGAATAAAATACTGAAGACAATATATAAAACTAAATATATAGCAAAATAGACACACCAATAGTCTTCACAACTTTCCTAGTTTCTCACTGTACATTAATGCGAACGCTGCAAGCCTTATGCTTCTCACACAAACAAATAAACGTCAAATCATTTAACATGTCCATGGAGTAAAACCTTGAGAAATCAGGGGAGACTGTACGTGAAAAGTGAAACCTGAACTTCTACAAATCATACGCTCTAAGATCAAACGCAGCAAACTACAAAAGCATTACACTGAGGGGTTACGTGTTTCAAAACAATGAGGGAGGGAATAAATTATTTCTTTAAAAAATTCTTTTGTAATTATATGCCTAATTCTGCCTCGTTCAGTAATGCTTAAGAAGGGAACAACAGTGGTTTACTCTCGCATCCCCCACATAAAACAGTCATTGTCCCAGAGTATTCAGTTTCAAAAGGATTTGTAAATAATGCATTTCTCCTTTTAAAATCATATTGGTTGAAAAGTGACAATCAGAAGCACCCAAAATAACAAAGGTTGGACATATATAGTTAAGCAAATACTCTGTGCAACGAGTAATGTCACCCCTTTCCACAAAAGGATGAAACTACGGACAAAAACAATTGCGGACCTGTCAGTTTCCTCTCCAAAATCTTCAAACTGTTGGAAAAAGTGACGTTTGATCAACTGTACACTTCCTATCCCCCATTTCTCAACTAATATGTCGTGCTTTCTTAAGGGACACTCTTGCGCTATAGTGTTGATCAGATTAGCAGATAATTAGAGACGCGGCGCTCTTGACGAAATTTCTTTAACGTAGCTGCCATCGATCTATCAAAGGCTTTTGACTGATTTGCCATAATTTACTCCTTGCAAAATTTAAAGCATATGGCGTACAAAAGCCAGCCCTTCAATTTATAACTGACAGCGAACAAAGGGTAATACGCAATGACACATGCTCTAACCTGTCATCTCTACGCTGTGCTGTCGCTTAGGGAAGTCTTCTCAGTCCCTTCTTTTAACATCTTTATGAACGACATGGACTAATCCGTCATCCTCTCATCACTACGCCTCTACGCAGACGACACTACCTAATTGTGCTTCAATACCCTTAAAATAAAGACACGGAAAGTATTTTATCTGGCTTGACCACAATTATCTTCAGGCCAATGGCGACAAGATGCAAGGGATGATCTTTGAAAACTCTTCTTACTATTATGACAGGGGAGTTTGATGGCACTTCCATCAGTCTCAAAGAAAATTTTACTATTCTTACAGTACACTTGTACAATCAGTTATCATTCAAATAACAAATAAAGTATAAGATAAGATAAGAGTTATATGTAATATAATATACAAAAGTTCGGGCTACAATAAGGGCTTGATTCCTTCCACTTGTTTAGTGATTTTCCGGGAAGGAGTAAACGGAAAAAAAACAATAATATAAAAACATTTTTTCGACCTTCAACAGGAAACTTTGATATTTACCAGGTAAAATTCACTCGTGTAACCTCGCAGTTTTCTACAGTATATTGCATGCCATTTTCGATATGTGTGAAAACTGAACTTTCTTTCAAAGTTATAAAAACAAAAACATTAGCAAAGGACATTGTCACTTAGTAGTCTGCCTCCTACGCAAAGTCCCCACTGCGAGGCCCATTAGGGGAGTAAAAAAGAAAAAAAAAACAACTACACAACTGCCAAGCGACACCAACTACTTCATATACGTTAAATGCCACATCAGAAAGAAACCTCTGCTCGCAGGGAAGCAAAGTCCTTTTTGTGTTACATACACGCATAGTTTCTTTGACATCAAACACTTTGTGCGACCCTGAAAATAAAGACATATTTAAGGTGCATGGCTCCGTAATTAATACAAGAGCATTTAGCTGTGACAAATTTTCCGTCATAACTTTTTGGTTTTTAACGCGATGGCTGCGAAACTTTGCAAAGAACAACAGATATCATTCGGCAATAATACGAAATATTCCGATTTCATTGATGGTAAATATTTCTTGAGAAATTAGCGCTTAAAAGGACCCTACTGTTCAAAGAAAATCGCGTCTAGTAAAAAATTTTGCTGATATTTTTTACTGAAATTTCTGGAATCGGCTTTAATTGATATAATAAATATGCCAGAGGAATTTCAGAAAAATCGTTGGAGCAGAAGTCCGTAACTAAAAGTCGCTCAAAATTCAGCTGTGAAATTGTTTTGGAATTTCAAAAATAAATTACCATCAGGAAGAAGGAGCCACCAGTTTGAATTTTCGGGACAAGTAAATTCAACGTTTGCTAATTCTTAAAACAAGAGCCGATTGCCTATCGTACTATTCTTTAAAAGGTACTTTTTAGTTTTAGAGGCACTATAAATTGCTCCAAACCTTGCTCTGAAGTAGAATGACTTGTTCTTCGACATTTTTAAAATATCCCTTGGCAGTTTTGGCTCAAACTCCTGCTGCATACATTTTGATGTATTGCAATGCATTTTCAACGGCTTTTACTGCTGTTCGTTGCTTCCAACTCAGGAAAAAAGTATTGAGATTGGACGCTACCTCGCATCAGAGCTCAGATAGAACTGTCCAGCAGCTTTGTTTATGACTACAAAATGAACACGGGCGGCGGTTCTGCGAGGAATTCGCACCTCATCCAGGGGGGACGAATGACAATGATCCCCATGTCTGTGAACCGATCTGTATAAACATGTACTGTAGAGCAAAACATAATAATCAAGAAAAAAAATACCCATTCATTGAAGGAAGGAGTGACTAAAATTTCAGAGTTGTAAATTTAATCACAGGCAGTATTTTTGCGATAATTTTATTTTGCACTGTGATGTTATTCGGTTCACAGGCATGGTCATCGTGGTCGTTCGTCCCCCCTGGGTGAGGTGCGAATTCCTCGCAGAACCGCCGCCCGTGCTCATTTTGTAGTCATAAACAAAGGTGCTGGACAGTTCTATCTGAGCTCTGATGCGAGGTAGCGTCCAATCTCAATACTTTTTTCCTGAGTTGGAAGCAACGAACAGCAGTAAAAGCCGTTGAAAATGCATTGCAATACATCAAAATGTATGCAGCAGGAGTTTGAGCCAAAACTGCCAAGGGATATTTTAAAAATGTCGAAGAACAAATCATTCTACTTCAGAGCAAGGTTTGGAGCAATTTACAGTGCCTCTAAAACTAAAAAGTACCTTTTAAAGAATAGTAAGATAGGCAATCGGCTCTTGTTTTAAGAATTAGCAAACGTTGAATTTACTTGTCCCGAAAATTCAAACTGGTGGCTCCTTCGTCCTGATGGTAATTTATTTTTGAAATTCCAAAACAATTTCACAGCTGAATTTTGAGCGACTTTTAGTTATGGACTTCTGCTCCAACGATTTTTCTGAAATTCCTCTGGCATATTTATTATATCAATTAAAGCCGATTCCAGAAATTTCAGTAAAAAATATCAGCAAAATTTTTTACTAGACGCGATTTTCTTTGAACAGTAGGGTCCTTTTAAGCGCTAATTTCTCAAGAAATATTTACCATTTATGAAATCGGAATATTTATTATTATTGCCGAATGATATCTGTTGTTCTTTGCGAAGTTTCGCAGCCATCGCGTTAAAAACGAAAAAGTTATGACGGAAAATTTGTCACAGCTAAATGCTCTTGTATTAACTACGGAGCCACCTTAATGCATCAACACACTTTGAGAAATAACTGCTTTAGTTGTAGTAGTACTTATTGTACTTATTGTATTATTACGGTGAAAGTGTTAGCATTAGGTAACATTTGCTGAATGACTCAATTAACTCAATTGGTTAAAGAGTTATTAAGCTTTGATTTTTGAATTTCCCGCCATTTTGTTACTATTTTTAGAAACATAAGGACATTTGAAGATACTATATCTCCTAAAGCAATTGAGGTTTTCCGAAAATTTTTTTCACATTTGTTTCTATCACGTCACGTTCTTTCAAAATTATTTATTTTTTTGCCATGTCTTGAAATTTCAATTTTGCTGTCAATCTTGTGACGTCATTTTCCCACCAAAAACCGCGAAAATCGTAAAACAAATAACATAGGATTTTTTGGAATACAGAGTTCTACCATCCTGCAAAGTTTGAGCTCAAACGAATAAAAAATGCAAAAGCAGTTCCTAGCTTGCCGCTTTTTGCATGTATCCTGGCTCAAGGTGAAAAAATTTCGTTTGCCTCTGTTAACATTATCATCATTATCATCTTCATAATTATCGTCATCGTCACCGTCATCGTCGTTGTCGTGGTCATCGTCATCGTCATCAACATTTTTATCGTTATATTATTACTATTATTATCATTATTATTTGTTCCATAAGCTATTCCAAACCATTTTTTCAATTCAAGGATAAATCGAAAGTCCTTAATCTGAAAGAAGTTTTCTAGTTTTCAATTCCCATTTCAGATCTATTTATGACTGAACTGTTGACGACTGGTAATGCAGTGGGTCATTGCGATAGCAATGCTTTTGTAAAGGTTTGGAATCTTTGCTGGAAGAAGTTCAGAATCGGCTTTTGGTAAGGAAAAAGTAAGCACAGGTTTTTATATGGCCTAAAATTGGGAAACGTTCGCCGAAATCTATCCAACGTTTCTCGTAACATTCGGCAGACTTGGTGGCTTTGTCGGCAAATTTCCTTAATTTTGCCATTTTCGAATTCTGTTCTGAAGACCTTAAAAATACAAAGCAAAAAAAATTACTTACGTTTTCAATGGTTTTCATCAAATTGAATTGTAACGTCATCGCCAATCAGCACAAATGGAGCCCAGTACTTTGGGGCAGAAAAGGTTCCCGAGTCGCGGAGACATTTCATGGCCTTCTGAAGAGCATAACTAGCGCTTTCGCCAGCTCTCAGGTGTTGGTAGAAACTTTTCATAAACTCCACTGTGGCTTTGTCATCGATTGCCCAGAGTGACACTAGCACAGAACGAGCACCGGCAAACAAGAAAGCCCGCGCCATACCGACGACGCCTTCGGAGTTAACTTCTCCTTTACCACTATGGCAACAACTAAGCACAACCAGCCTCGCTCTCAACTCAGTAGCTTGAATATCAGACATCTTCAAAATATAATCCTCTTCCATAGGGGTAGGATTCTTTGATTTCCAACCGGGGTTTGGAGCCAAGGCAATTTCACCATTTTCCTTTCTTGCGCTGGCTGCAATGTGAACTAAAGCGACTGACTCTATTCTTTTAAGCACCTCCTGTTTTGTTGCAGCTTCTCCTGTAAGAGATTGGCTGTTTAGGATTGCTCCAATCATCTCCACTTCCTTTCTTGCGTAATTAAGTTGCTTGTAAATGGGCTTACCCCGTTTATTTGTAACTTTCTCCAGACTTGGATCTCCAACAAGCAGGACTCCATCTTTAGCGTGGTGATCAGCGGAACAATCAGTGATCAGCTTCAAAATTGAAAGTGAGGGAACAGTGCGAATCCTTAGAGATTCACTTAGGGCTGCCCATGGAGCTAACGACAAAGCACCATCAGGGACTACAATAAGTTCATCACAATTAAGCAAGTCTTCAATGGGACCAATAACAACATCATATAGTGGCTGTAACCAGTCGGTATTCGTGTATGACGGCTGCAATATTCGATCATCGCCTCGAGTACTAGGAGCTGGATTCTGTTGATTGTCGCTTACCTTATCCAATGACCGATTCTCGCATCTTACATCGACCCCAGCACCAATGTTTTTCAAAACAGCTTCCAAAAGAACAGCGGATGAATCTTCGTGTACACTTTCACTTGTTAACTTTGCTTGCCTGAATACAGCGTTGCTTTCCTTTCCCAATACCCATATATTTATGGTTTCATTTTTTATTGCAAGAAAAGCTGTCAAAGTAGATATTTTTCTTGAAGGGTTTGTAACCTCTTCTTCAGATTTATTAGACCTCGGAAATGATGCGAAGCCATATTTTATTTGCAAAGCGTCTAGCAAGGCTTGTGCTCTTCCTTGTTCAGCAGCGTATAAAGCCTCGTCCGTTTTTTGAAGCATTATGAGAACTTGCAATAAACAGGAATAGGCATCATTCCAAACTTTACGAAAACTTACTTTCCACACATCTTGGGAAGATAGACTGGCCCTAATAGTGTCAAGGGTTTCAACGCTGGATCTAAAATGAGCTAAAGCTTCATTCAAAGAATCTAAACTTAAAAAACAGATACCTAGATTGTAATAGGCTTGTCCTTCTCCGGCCCTGTCGCCGACGTCCTTGGCAATGCTAAGGTCTTTCTCGTGGTACTCTATTGCTCGTTGGACGTCGCCGAGAGAGTAATAAGCATTGCCGAGATTTCCATAGGCACCTCCCTCTCCGGCCCTGTCGCCGACGTCCTTGGCAATGCTAAGGTCTTTCTCGTGGTACTCTATTGCTCGTAGGAAGTCGCCGAGAGAGCAATTTGAGAATATAGGACTGCCGGTCATTTAGTGTTTTGAAAACCTTGACCGGTTACCGGCCATATAGCCACAGCGGATTAATTTTGCTTTGTGTTGTCAAGTTGAACATGCATAACACCTGTTAAAAACCTACACGTAAGTAAGATTTCCTTCAAACAAAGTTAAAGTTACATTATTGCAAAAACCTCTTTCCAATTATGTATAAGATTTAATTACCGATTGAGGTCACTTTAAGGACCATAGACGCCACTTTAAGCTGGCAAAAAGATGCGACAAGCAAAGAACAATTCGATCATGCATAAAATTCAGCTTAAGTGAACTACAAAAAAAGCTTCAATAAGGTTGCGAAACAACAAATTTTCATTAAAAAAACAAAAGGCTTAAGGCTCTTATACCTGATGACAAAGAAGAAGTGAATTTTCTGTACGGAAACAACCTACCTAAAGTTGCTTACACATATTGTTTGGAGTAGGTGTGCAAAACTCAAATATGAATCAGTTTACTAAACGCTACCTGAAGACCAAAGATAAATTGCTTCACAACATAAACGCTTCTCGTTTATTTATTACATCTAAGAAAACAATACCACACAACAATTTTTTTGCAATATTCAATGACTGATAATCCAAAACACGCACACTCGCCAAAGCTCTTCATAGCGGCGGGGCAGGTTAGTGTCTCCTAAACCTCTAAGATGTAATTGGATAAGCCAGTTTCGAATATCAAAATTCACACTTAACTCCGAGGCTAAGGGGAATTGAAACAAAAGAAATGAATGATTTCTCTGAATCTCATTGGCTAATGTTTCAGTAATGTAAGAGCTGCTTGTCAGGTGTTCCCTCATTGGTAGCAGAAAACAACAACACATCGTTTATCAATATTTCCTGTTGTTTCACGGTTAGAGTATCGAACCAATTGGCTTTTAGGGTTAGGAGAGCTGGTACACCAGTCTCGGGTGGCAAGTATGAATTTTAATAAATCGAACCTGGCCTCTTTGCATGCGCAGTGATTTATGATTAATCAACCTCGTTCCTAGCGTGCTTGTTACATCTCGCTGAAGTACCAGAGCATGATAACGACGTTACTGATAACTAATTTGTGAGTAGTGAACATATAGCACAAATGATAATGCCTTTTGAAATTTAATCAGCGGTATAGTTAGAGTGATTTAACTGAACCGGTGAAATAGATAGTAGAATGCTACGCACTATTATGCATTTAATTCTATTGTCCTCTTGTGTGTATTTGTAATTATTTTGCACTAGTTGTTATTAACTGTATCACGGAGCCAAGTAAAATCGCTCTAAAAGCCTGCTCACGAATATGCTTGGTTATTGCAATTGGTGCGATATTCAAACATTATTATTGGGGCTTTTTAAGCCTTGCTAGGAACTACTATAATGATATCATACATTTTGGTTAATTTCATTCCAAACTTGAAGGAGTAGAAACCNTCTTTCCTAGACAAGTTGGGAAAGGGGATAAGGAAAGAGGAAAGCGGAAAGAGGAAAGCGGAAAGCGGAAAGCGGAAAGCGGAAAGCGGAAAGAAGAAGCTGAAAAAAGTGTTAAGTGTCACGAAACATGGTTTCGTTTTCTTAGCACAGCGTAAACCAAACGCTAAACTTGAGATCTATAAAGTGACTTTTCTTAATCGACATATGATAGTTTAGATTAGATGGATTTTTTCGATTTGTCAAATTTATTGAGAATATAGGACTGCCGGTCATTTAGTGTTTTGAAAACCTTGACCGGTTACCGGCCATATAGCCACAGCGGATTAATTTTGCTTTGTGTTGTCAAGTTGAACATGCATAACACCTGTTAAAAACCTACACGTAAGTAAGATTTCCTTCAAACAAAGTTAAAGTTACATTATTGCAAAAACCTCTTTCCAATTATGTATAAGATTTAATTACCGATTGAGGTCACTTTAAGGACCATAGACGCCACTTTAAGCTGGCAAAAAGATGCGACAAGCAAAGAACAATTCGATCATGCATAAAATTCAGCTTAAGTGAACTACAAAAAAAGCTTCAATAAGGTTGCGAAACAACAAATTTTCATTAAAAAAACAAAAGGCTTAAGGCTCTTATACCTGATGACAAAGAAGAAGTGAATTTTCTGTACGGAAACAACCTACCTAAAGTTGCTTACACATATTGTTTGGAGTAGGTGTGCAAAACTCAAATATGAATCAGTTTACTAAACGCTACCTGAAGACCAAAGATAAATTGCTTCACAACATAAACGCTTCTCGTTTATTTATTACATCTAAGAAAACAATACCACACAACAATTTTTTTGCAATATTCAATGACTGATAATCCAAAACACGCACACTCGCCAAAGCTCTTCATAGCGGCGGGGCAGGTTAGTGTCTCCTAAACCTCTAAGATGTAATTGGATAAGCCAGTTTCGAATATCAAAATTCACACTTAACTCCGAGGCTAAGGGGAATTGAAACAAAAGAAATGAATGATTTCTCTGAATCTCATTGGCTAATGTTTCAGTAATGTAAGAGCTGCTTGTCAGGTGTTCCCTCATTGGTAGCAGAAAACAACAACACATCGTTTATCAATATTTCCTGTTGTTTCACGGTTAGAGTATCGAACCAATTGGCTTTTAGGGTTAGGAGAGCTGGTACACCAGTCTCGGGTGGCAAGTATGAATTTTAATAAATCGAACCTGGCCTCTTTGCATGCGCAGTGATTTATGATTAATCAACCTCGTTCCTAGCGTGCTTGTTACATCTCGCTGAAGTACCAGAGCATGATAACGACGTTACTGATAACTAATTTGTGAGTAGTGAACATATAGCACAAATGATAATGCCTTTTGAAATTTAATCAGCGGTATAGTTAGAGTGATTTAACTGAACCGGTGAAATAGATAGTAGAATGCTACGCACTATTATGCATTTAATTCTATTGTCCTCTTGTGTGTATTTGTAATTATTTTGCACTAGTTGTTATTAACTGTATCACGGAGCCAAGTAAAATCGCTCTAAAAGCCTGCTCACGAATATGCTTGGTTATTGCAATTGGTGCGATATTCAAACATTATTATTGGGGCTTTTTAAGCCTTGCTAGGAACTACTATAATGATATCATACATTTTGGTTAATTTCATTCCAAACTTGAAGGAGTAGAAACCTAATTACCGTATATCCTCGGCCAGAAAGGCTAAATTCGTTACTTGTTTGCCAACGAATTGGCTTCACATCTACATCTCATTACGTTGGTTAAGTCGATAAGACATCACACCAATTGTAACTTGCTTGTTACATAAACAGAAAAAAATTTAAAAAAAAACATAAATATGTTTATTTGAGGAAGGACGAAATATTTTGCTATCAATCATATGAAACACACTTCCAAACCAAGCCTCAAACAGTCATGACCACATGCTTAAACAAACTCAGTTACTTTTGAATAAAATACTGAAGACAATATATAAAACTAAATATATAGCAAAATAGACACACCAATAGTCTTCACAACTTTCCTAGTTTCTCACTGTACATTAATGCGAACGCTGCAAGCCTTATGCTTCTCACACAAACAAATAAACGTCAAATCATTTAACATGTCCATGGAGTAAAACCTTGAGAAATCAGGGGAGACTGTACGTGAAAAGTGAAACCTGAACTTCTACAAATCATACGCTCTAAGATCAAACGCAGCAAACTACAAAAGCATTACACTGAGGGGTTACGTGTTTCAAAACAATGAGGGAGGGAATAAATTATTTCTTTAAAAAATTCTTTTGTAATTATATGCCTAATTCTGCCTCGTTCAGTAATGCTTAAGAAGGGAACAACAGTGGTTTACTCTCGCATCCCCCACATAAAACAGTCATTGTCCCAGAGTATTCAGTTTCAAAAGGATTTGTAAATAATGCATTTCTCCTTTTAAAATCATATTGGTTGAAAAGTGACAATCAGAAGCACCCAAAATAACAAAGGTTGGACATATATAGTTAAGCAAATACTCTGTGCAACGAGTAATGTCACCCCTTTCCACAAAAGGATGAAACTACGGACAAAAACAATTGCGGACCTGTCAGTTTCCTCTCCAAAATCTTCAAACTGTTGGAAAAAGTGACGTTTGATCAACTGTACACTTCCTATCCCCCATTTCTCAACTAATATGTCGTGCTTTCTTAAGGGACACTCTTGCGCTATAGTGTTGATCAGATTAGCAGATAATTAGAGACGCGGCGCTCTTGACGAAATTTCTTTAACGTAGCTGCCATCGATCTATCAAAGGCTTTTGACTGATTTGCCATAATTTACTCCTTGCAAAATTTAAAGCATATGGCGTACAAAAGCCAGCCCTTCAATTTATAACTGACAGCGAACAAAGGGTAATACGCAATGACACATGCTCTAACCTGTCATCTCTACGCTGTGCTGTCGCTTAGGGAAGTCTTCTCAGTCCCTTCTTTTAACATCTTTATGAACGACATGGACTAATCCGTCATCCTCTCATCACTACGCCTCTACGCAGACGACACTACCTAATTGTGCTTCAATACCCTTAAAATAAAGACACGGAAAGTATTTTATCTGGCTTGACCACAATTATCTTCAGGCCAATGGC